TGCTCCACTGGAAGGGAAGAAGTTGAATATTATTGTTTATTTCATGCCAATTCAATGTGTTCTTGTGATCCGTCTAAATACAAAGCTCTTTACGAAGGCGTTGATATGGAAGAGATTCCTAAGCTTATTAAAAAACTAAAGTCTAAAACGGAACTGGTAAATGAATGGTCTCAAACTATATCCCAAATACTCGCTGACGAGGAGAAAGGAAAGAGAACGTTCGACGAACTGGTTGACTTAAAGGATGAAGCAATTAAAAAGAACTATTCAAAATGCCCTGAATTTAAAAAGCTTTCAAGATTGTTGAGCGACGCCGAAAAATGCGAAACAGTTGCAGTTCAGTTAAGCACAGCAAAGATTAGAACACGACAAAGAAATGCAGATAGTTCAACAGGACAATTGAATGTTCTTTCTGTTCCACGAGTCACTTTTACAGAACTAGTTTCTTTCGTTGAAAAGATTGACTCTCTACCGTGTAAAATTCCTCATGGAATGTCTATGAAAGGTTTGCTGAAAAAAGTCAAAGATTTCATTGAAGAAATGGACTCTGCTTTGCTAAGAAAACGGGAAGGTTCAGATATTATGTTTTACGAACAATTGTTAGAGAAAGGCATAAATCTCAATGTTGAAATCCCAAAATTGCACAAATTGAAGCACGCAGTTTTACAAAGCCGATGGTTAGCTGATATTGACAAGCTTTTAGAAGGCGTGGAAAGTAGATCTGTACATTTGAACGATGTTAAGAAATATATGGAGAAGTATGTTAGCCTACCTGGAGAGGATGTATCTTGTCAACACGCTATGAGCTCTCTGCAAGAACTACTAAATGAGGCTGAAAGTATAGAGGAAAGGGCCGAAAAACTATTGACTAAAGAAAAGAGAGCATCTATTGTAGAATACGAAAATCTTGCTCAAGACGCTAAGGATTGTCCAGCTATATTAGATAAGATGTCAATTGTTGAAGATGTTGTCGACAAGTATATATTATGGAAAGAAACGGCGGATGAATTAGAAAATTCCACACCTTTTGTTGAGTCTATCGAGACTGTCATATCTAAGGGAAAAAATCTACCTGTTCACCTGGAACAATTTGCAAAATTCGAGGCATATCTGAATTCGGCAAATTTATGGTTAGAATCTTGCGAGAAAGCTTTCATGAAACAGAAAAATAATGGATATTCTCTTATTGACATTCTCCTCCCCAGAAGTGCTTTCTTACAAGAGCACATTGCCTCAATATCTACAAATAAAAAGAAAGGAGCTTCAATTCTTAAAATGGAGAATAGTTTCGATGATAAAAGGATTCAAACGGAAATTTGTGATCTCGAACGAAAAGAGATTCAATATCTTTATGAATTACGAAAAGCAAATCAATTAAAAGCGAAACAAGTGGCGTCGAAAGTAAATAACGATGATGTTAAAATTTGTTTTTGTAAAAAGAAAGCTTGGGGTATCCTTATACAGTGTTCTCTATGTTGCCAACTCTATCATACGGGTTGCATTCAGTTACCGAAGCAGGCTTCTCTTGTTCTTAAATCGAAGAATACGGGTGAGGTACCAACTTCGAGCCAAGCTTCAGCAGCAGTTCAAGATCTCATGTGGCTGTGTAATACTTGTAGTCGTTCTAAGCGACCTCATCTTGAGGAAGTCTCCAACTTGGTTAATGTTTTGAAAAGTGTGTCTGGTGTTCGCATTAAAGAAGCAGAAGCATTGAAACGCCTGTGTGAGAGAGGATTAAATTGGAGAAACAACGCGAAGATAGCTTTAAGAAGTCCTGAATTTCAGAGAGCTTTGAACGCACCCCAGAAATTGGTACCGAACGAAAGTGTGAGAAGAATGAGTGGCGCATCATCTTCTGTCGAACATGACTACTCTGCGGCAGTAAACAAATCTATATTAGATTTAAATGAGGAAAAAAAGAATTTAATTGAGAGATTAGTCATAGAGGGAAATTTAATGGAATTAAGCGTTTATGAGTTGAAAGACTTGTGGAAACTATACGAAATGATAGCGAAGAAGGACGGTAGCTTTTTAAAAGTTCTTGTTATGAATTCTGTAGGTGCAACTAAGCCAAAAAAGAGGCTTTCAATGGATAAAGAAAAACCTTTGAAAAAGAAAAAAGCGAGAAGAAGTTTTGGTAAGATTAACCTTTTTTTAGGTAATATTTTTATCATAATAGCTCTAATTTTTTCAAAAGTAGGTCTGAAGGAAAAAACAAAAGAAGATTGCGCAAGTGAGGAGGACGATGACGACGATGACGACGAAGATGAAATTTGCGCAGCGAAACCCTGTAGAAAACCTTCGAGTGATGTAAGTTATTTTATCAGCCATTATTCATCATTATATCAACAATAAAAACTAACTTATTTTTCTGATGCAATTTATAGAAGGTTTCTTGGGTGCTTTGTGACAAATGCAACAATTGGTTCCATTATTATTGCGTTGGAAAGAAAGACCACGAAATATCAGAGTCGGAAGATTTCAATTGTGGTTCGTGTATAAAAAAGAAACCGAGAAATTCTAATGGAAAATCTGGACCGGTACCTTATTCAAAAACTCCAGTGTCTCTTTTAAAGCAAAGAAGTACAACGGAGCGTAAATCGTCCAGCGAAGAAGATATAGATTTTGTTGCAGTAGCAGCCCGAAAAAGAAATATGGAAGGAGTAAAGACTGATTGAGTGTGAGATGATATTGGCTATTCCTGTTTTCAAATTGTTTAATTGTTCCTTGTTTTAAATAAACACGATAAAAAAGAAAGTATGTTATGGGTTAAGTTAAGTGTGTATATTTTTTAAATTTCATAATTTGTACAGTAAAATATACGAATAATTTTTTTTATAAAAATGTTGATAATTCATATAAGTTTTTACATAAAGGAGTGGAAAACTAATGTAAAATATTTTAACTATGTCTTTATCTTATTTATCAATTGTTTATGAATTTTTCAATAATACACATCAACAACAACTACTACAAACAAACAAAAAAGAATCTGATAGGCAAAACGCTTTCTAATTATGTCTCGTGACTAGCACGAGCCCGCACACGTGGACGTCACTTTTTCTTTTCAATTATCATGGTCTATTACCTTGTTAACCGTGGAAACAATTAAAAAAAGAAATAAAGGAAAAGACACTGTTACGTAATCAAATTGAAGAAAAATTTTCATCTGCTAGCTCGTGTCACTGTTAATAAGAGGGAGAGCGAGAAAGATGACGTTGGTGAATACATAGAAAAGAAGAGATTTTCTAATTCCCTAAATTGTCCCTGACCTTAATTGACTAATCAAAGTTTAAGTTCTTCGATGAAAAAAAGGGTTACACCCCTCAAAAAAAAGCAATATTGAGTTAACCAGGCTACGCAGTTAGTCAGATAGATAGATAGATAGATAGATAGACATACAAGACAGATAGACAGACGTAGAGATAAGAAAAATATTTTACTTATACTTCATAGGGTTACTGCTGGATGGTAGTGATATAAGCGTTAAACATCTATAGGCCTATTCAAGGGTTAATTATGAATCTTTGGCACGAGGCTGACACGCCTTCCCAAAACGCTTACTTGACTGGTTCAAATTAAAATTGTAATTGCTCATAATTGATTTGAGTGGTTTTTAATGAAAAGAACAAGAAAGAAAGACAGAAGATGACGGTATTGATGAAGAAGAATAGTAGGTAACGATAATCGTTTCTTCATTTTTTTTCTCTGACATTTTGAATGAGTTTTTTTTTGTTTACTTGAATAAGACTTATTCTTTTATGAATGAACACAAAATACTTAAAAGATAATAAATGATAATAGTAACCAAGAAATACTACGATAGGAAAAAAATGTGTGGTTTGTGACTGATAGAGGGAGAACGAACGAAGTATTTAAGCCTATACAAATAAATTAAAACTGGTGTAATTTATTGGACTCGATTGATTTTCAAAAGTGTTTCCCATACGCGACCCACGTTCAATTAGGGCTTTAAGATCGCCTGAGAGCTATGATACAGTAAACACCGGCTTCGTCACTTTTAAACACGTCTCCAATGTAATCGGCTTATCTATACAACTGTTTGACCAAACCAGACGCCTACCCGCAACGAAGGCGCCTCCAGCGCGGCGGGAGCGTCGCCCCGTGTAAAACAAAAATGAAAAGAAGAAAAAGAAACTAGTTTTCTTAATAATTAAGATGTAAAAGTTAAATAATAATAATAATAATAAAGGAATACCATACTGTTCATTTTAATTAATTAAGCCATTCAGAAAGCTAAATAAAGTTGGCGGTCGTACTAAAGAGGGATGGATGATAGGCTGTCGGCGGAAGCCGTAATCTAATCAGCAGGTATCAAAAATGTTTAATGAAAGTTAGAAGTCGGCGTTTTTTAAGGTTTTTTTTTTTAAACTAAATTTTACTCTATTCATCTTCGTCGTCAAATTTAAACGTCTCCTCTTTTTTTTCTTTTTGTTTCTTCATCAACCCAAAAAATTTTTCTACTTTAATCTGTTTAGATGAAAAAGGAAAAGATATAAAAGATTTTCTTTAATGAACATTATAACGCTCTTTGATTTTTCTTCTTTTTTCTTCTTTCTTTTAGGTGATCTTTCATATATACGCACCAATTCTTATAAAGTATTAAATAATACATCACGTGACAATACGATAATTTAGAGGCACTTTTATTTGTCTATATAATATATAGAGTGATAAAGAAGATTTCAGAAATGGTTTATTTTCTTAATTTGACTTTGACCTAGTTTTTTTTGAAAGTAAATTTCATTGTTGCTAAAGTACATATACTATTATATATGACATATAGTATATAGACTATAAATAGATATACATAATAAACACGCGCATGCTATTAAATATCATATGCTTTTTTCTATGATCTATTCCAATTTCTCGGCAAAGTTATCTGTTATTTTTTTAAATAGGTGTGAAATACTCTGAATGTCTCTTTTTCTAGTTTTTGGGCGGTCATTACAATTAAGTTCCTATTGAACGATAATTAACTAATAGGCTCCGCCTACTTTCTCGAACTAGTACATATACGGTTCGTCGTTAGTAAAACAATAGTCATTTGGACGAGACGCGTGCTGAAAACATGTATCCATACCCTTACGAATTAGTTAGCGAATCTGCTGGAAGAATGCGGAGATCTTATGTTCCCCACTCGGATCGATCTTCAACATCCGTTATTAAAAGAAATGAAAGAGAGCGTAAAAGGATGGAAAGCTTGAATGGCGCTTTTAAAGACCTTCAAAGAAGGATCCCTCTATTGAAAAGAGCGGAAAAGAGGATACCAAAAGAGAAAATACTTAGAGGAGCTATTGCTTATATAAATCATTTATCGGATATTCTCAGGGACGGTCAAAATATTACAGTTGATGAAAATGCTCCAGGACTCGGAGAATGGTGTAGCAGGAAGCGAAAAACTAGTGACGAAGAAAGCATATTTGATTTAAAAAATTTTGGAGCCAGCGAAGAAACTATTCGTTTTATAGAATCTTTAGCAGAAGTATCGCCGAACCAATGTCATTTCGATCGTTTCTCACCTTCTTGATTAATTGATTACTATGAAGAAAAAAAAACTGATTAATTAAAAGAAACATACCGCCCACTATCGTTCTAGTCTTGATAAAAACTTGTTCGTATTTATGTTTGTGTTTTGCCTCCTGTAACGAGATTATAATAAAAAAAAACAAAATATTAATTACGAGTACTTTTTTATTAACTCTGTCCAGATTTTAGATTCATCGCACGGATATACACAAGTATTTTGCCGTAGCATTTATGAGCAACAACAGCAACAACAGTTATTACAACATCGTCTCAAATCATTTGCTTGTTGAATGCAACATATTATTTGAGCTGTTGCCCTCTCGTTCTCGGTTGAATCGTTGTCTTTATATCGAGGTTCTTCAAACTTCTCTTCTCTGTCATGAGCTTTTATAGGAGTGAGTTGAATTAAGAATTTATTAGATAGCCTCCGGCCTTTGCTAGTATTTCTACTCGGGCTTCGTTTAACACACCACTCGTAGCAATTAGTACTTCCCGGAAGTTGACCCATTTCTCTCTCCTTATCAAAAAATACATTCTCTTGACCCACGGGCGTATTCAAGTGGCTAAAAAGTTTTTTCGGATTATCACTTTGCGGGACATTCCGTTTAATTTGGGTTTTACAGGGACAAATTTGTTGTTCCTTGGCTTGGGAGTCATTTCCTTTGTCCTCTTTCGTGGGAACACTAAAAGTATAAACAGTCGTATCGTAAATACCATTTGATTTATGACTTTTTGTAGGTAATGCTAATTTATCCTGTTTAATTTCGTTTTTAATAATAAAACAGAAAGAAGAGGAAAAGTTCAGTTACGATTGATAAGAACAATTGACTGATTACCTGATATTCTTGATCGTTTCGATAAAAACAATTGCATATCACTCGATCAGTGCAAGTTTGAAAGTCGAATGGTCTTTGATAATGTCCACTATTGTTGTTGCTATTATTTATAGTAAAATTCCCAAAACCGTATTTGGGTCCGTTAGAACAAGTGCACGGAGTAGAGTAACAAGCTGTACATTGAACTAGACAGGGTAAAACTACGAAATTAGGATGTTTATTATTAGCTATTTCCTCTTGAACATTTGTTGAATTATTCGCAACAATTTTTCCCATTTTTATAGCACTTTCAATATTCATTAAAGATTCTTTAGTTTTCTTACTAACAGGTGGCGCTGACTGACCGATTTCATTAATTTGAGTTAATTTTTTTACTAAATCCAGTTCGGCAAATTTTCTCACCATTTCCATATCACCAAGTTTCTTAAGAGTATCGCTGTGCTGATCAATCTTTTTAGCTGTTTCAATCTCGAATAAGCCTAATCGTTTTATTTCTTCAATTTCTCTGTTTTATACAAAGAGGATAGAACTTTTTTTGTTTTAAAAGATCAAGTTGAAAAGAACTTACTCTCTTATTTTTTGCATATTATCACTTTCCATAAACACATTTTGAGCTGTTTTTTTGCATTCGCATACCGTCCGAGATGGGCAACTTTTTAGCAGCCCTTTCATTCTACCATCTTCTATGCAATAACTTTGGCATGCTGCGTCATTTCTTTGAGTGTCAGTCTGAGTGCAACAGGCTTTAGTTAATGGCCGACAAATTAGAGTATTCGATAAATTATAGTTCTCTTGCTGCTGAGAACATTGATTAGCAGTATTAGCAGTATTAGCTTGAACTGGTCGTTTTGGGAATACATTCTCAGCGGTAGGGTTAACATTATTCTTTGAAGGCAGAGGGTAACAACAACTATGATCATTCCCCTGATACTGATTGATATAAGATGATTTTTTATTTGTTCTTAACCCAGTACTTAATATTGGAACAGCTCCCATGCGTTTATTGTGCGAATTTCTGCAATTTAAGAATGATTTATTCTGCGTTTGAAATTTATAGCATGTAGGTTCAGTTTGCTTTGGTGTATTAGAAGTGGGATAACAGAAGTATTCTTCAACTTCATCGTCTGCTTGAACATTCTTAAAAAGATAGAATAGACTTAATTTTATTGAAATCTATGATTTAAAAATATAATCAAACAAATAAACAAAACAGCTCTTACTAAATATCTTCTATCGGCTGATGGTCGAATTTTACGAATTTTACCTTTTACAGGTATACCAAGATCTAAAGTAGAAAAACGATTAAGTCCACTTAAAAAATATCGAGGTAAATCAAAAAAGAGTTTTCATTGCACAATGGTCTGCTTTTAAGCAATTTTTACTTTGCGATTTCCTTCGTCTTTTATTACTGTTGTTATCGTTACGATTTCTACTTGTTGGGAGACGACAATCGCATATTTCTAGGCCGAAAGGGAAATGAATGGTTTGAGGTTTAATTTTTTTATCTAACGGCGGTGGGGGTGGTTGACACGGGTGAAACGGATAGCAAGTGCGAATTGGCTTTAATTGCTTGTAACAGTGGATTTCTTCTAAATCCTCTAACGGATTATTTGCACCTAAAGCTCGATTCGAAAGCCTTGAATAAATGGTGGGATTAACTATTTCCTGCATAGGAACTGCGCAAGATAATTTAGAATCATCTTCAATTATCTTTCTACGAATTTGAAACGGGTGTTGAAAAATTTCGGGCGCTCCTCTTTCCAACTTCAAGTAACCTATAATAGAAATAAACAGTTACCTCGAGATTACGAACGTTGTTAACTTTTATATAAAGTGTGCACAATTATCAAATAAAGAGTGTATATTAAGAATCTCTAGGTAATGCTTATTTCTATTTGACAAAATGTTAATATTTACCTTTTGAACGACGTGTTGCACTTTTCTTTTTCTCTTTTTTCTTTACAACTTATAAGAAAAGCACTCTGTAAATTTTATATCGATAAAATATATCTTTTCTACTAACCAGGCTGCTGCTCTTCCTCCTCCTCTTCTTCTTCTTCTTCCTCTTCTATATCTTCTAAGTCGTCATCTCCGTCGTCTTCTTCGTCTTCTTCCTCCTCTTCCTCCTCTTCAGTTTCCATTACGTTTGCAACAATTACCGATGGAACTCTTAAATGATGTTCTCTTTTACTCGACTTGTTATCGTAATAGCCATTGGAAAGTTTTCTAGAAGATTTTCTCAAATGTTGGGCAGTAGAATTTCGCCTCTTTGAAACTTTAGCGGAAAGACGATCGGAGGGTTCTTCAGATACGTCTTCCTTTGCTTTCGAAGATCTCCTTGAACTTTTCTTTACTTTACGATTTTCTAAGAATTCTGTATTGTCTTTTTTTCTACTTTTTGAACCATTGAGCTTTTCTTTGTCTTTTTTTGATTTACTTTTCTTTTTTTCGCTTTTCTCTACTTTCTTATTGCTATTTTTGCCTTTTTTATCCTCTTTATCCAGCCTTTTTCTTTTATCTGTACTTTTTCTAACTTCTTCAACATCCTCTTCACCCGAATCGTCATCATCTAGCTGATCTAAACTAGAAGCGAATGAAATATTCTCGTCGTCGTCGTCAACATCGTCTTCGTCACTTTCGGGTGTTTCTACTCGTTTTGCACTTTTTTTCTTAACTTCCGCTTTAGGTCGCTTATATTTAAAATAATCGTAACCGTATTTATATTTAGTGTTATTTTCATTCCAATTCCTAGCGGAAGTATCCAACTGATTGCTAGATTTTTTCTTAACATCAGCATAACTATCGTAAAGTTCATTTAAATCGGCATCACCAAACACTTTATCAACGTACTCATTTAATTTTTTCTTAAAGATGGTCAATTTCCCCATAGTTTTTTTTTTTGCCTTAAGGACTAAAGATCTACCGATTATGTGTTAATCGATTTGTCTCTTCATTTTATTGCTATAAAGTTATATGGAATATTCTTATAGAATAGGTTTTTAATGTTTTCTTAAAGAATATTATTATTATATTATTTTTTTGAATTTTCATGTAATGTCATAGATTATAAATACGAAAAAGGAAACTTTTGTTACCATTGTAATATTTTTTTTTTACGCAATTCGTCCCATGGCTATCGGGTTTCGCCAAAGCAAAATAGCTTAATTAGTAAAGCTTATCAACTAGAACCTTGTCTGCTATTATCCTATAAAAAGTTTCGAATTTCGAAGATAGAACGTTTAGAAGAGAACACAGAATATTCTACTAGGGGCAAAACTGGTAAAAGTGAAATAGTTTTTGCTAAGTCATTTATAAAATAAGCCTATGATTAGGGGAACGTATCCTTAAGGGCTCTCTCTATTTTACTTGTTTCATCGTCCAATTCCTGCAAACATTTATAATAATTTTAGCTTTTATTACCTTATCGAGAAGAATTCGAATACGCTTAATTCATTAATAATTCTCATAAATAATCGTAAACACCCTCATTTAATCTGAAGTACAATTTAAACTAATCGCCCGTGAAACTTTGAGGACAACATATTAAAAAAACCCGCCTTACAAAGGCAAATAATTAATCATAGTCAGAGATTTACGATATTCTAAGTTAGGGAATAGCTAGGTTTTTCGCTTATAGAAAATCGAAATATATAATCTATTATATTATTGTATATAAATATAAAATGCATTTCATTTTTGAAGTGTAAAGAGAAGGATGGAGAAACATTTGAAAAAATTCGCCATTTTGTTTTTCTTCATTGATGTTTTTTTTATTGTTTAAAAGTTTTATTCTATAAAAAAGAGGTATATGAAATAATTAATAAAATTATTTAAGATAAAAAAAGGAATATATATATAGAAAAAATAAAAGACAAATTGGAATGATTGATGACTCTTTTGTTGTCTTTTTCACTTGTTCGTCTAGATGAAACATAGTTCTGTAAATGATCTAGATGACATGTCGATTCGTGCGTCCAATTCAGCTCTTGAAGCCTTATCAGCGAAATCATTGACAGTATACTTTTTCTTAATTTCTTCTCTTTCCTGTTTCGATTGTAGGGCCAAGTTCCTTGACTAAAAGCAAAAGATTATTACAATGGTAAATGGTATGATGAAAAGATATCTTTTAGCCTACTTTGGTTACCGCTTCCTCCTTTTCTTTAGCTATTAATCGACTTCGAGAGTCTTTTTGTTCGATATATTTTTTAATACTGTTCAATCGTTCGCCTTCATTTTTATCAATTCTGTCGATCAATTATAAGAATGAAATAGACTCCTTAGAAAGGAAAAGTTCAAAAAGAATGAAAGACTAACTTCTTTTTATTATCAGTTAGTAGCCTCTCCCTCCTCAGCCTATCTCTTTGAGCCCGCAACATTTTTTCCTCAGAATTTCGTTCAGCCTTCAACTTGGCTTCTTGAGCTTGCTGCATGAAGGAATTTGTATGTAAAAAAAAAAAAAAACCCTTTAAATATTCTATTAACAATCAAAGGATTCCCTTAACAAACCTTTTCTTTTAGTAGCAATTCGTTCTTTCTTAATATTTCCATTTCTCTTTTTTCCTTTTGCTGTTTTTCCTTATTTCGATACATTCTAATGTCCAAGTCTTGCCTGACGGGAAGAAAGATACGTGTGAAGAATGAACAATTTACAAAGTCATAGAAAATGATAGAGACAGAGAGACGGAGGGAGCGAGAGAAATTATTTCTTTAATTAGAACAAAAAGACGTACTTGCTCTTTTTGAGTTCGTTAACTTTTTGCTGATGAAGAGTGCTTCTCTTCTCTTCAGCAATTTTTAATTTCTTATTTAACTTATTCTCTAGATCTTCTTTCGTATCCCTGTAAAGAACGTAATAGCTGAATAACGGCTAATAAATATCATGTTACTAAGTAAATAAAAAAAAGGTCTATTTGAATGTAGTACCAAATGAAAGAGCATCTTTAATTCAATGCAAATATGTTTAGGGATTATTATATAGACAAGTTGATCTAAAGTAAATAAACAGATTCGGTATTTCTTAGACCTGCCCAACCTGTTTTGTGCCTTTTTTTTTAAGTTAAAAAATACAAGCTCCCTTTTTTATCTGAACTGTTAGAAGACGGTGTTCTCTTTCATTTTTTCAGTTAGAAAGAACTTTTAATCCTTTGAAAACAAGGTTTTTGACTATTGGCGTTCAAGCGTGTTGTAGGGTGTAGCTCATATGCTTTCTATACATTCTACTAACGATTTCTTCTTCTTCATAATAGCTTAACAAAAACTCCGCTTCTAAATTCTAATTGGAGTAATAAAAACGTAAGAAATATAACCAACAAGTAGGTTTTTTTGATTTCTTTCCTATTGTCCTCTTAGCAATACGATTTCCGCTTTGGGGCGTTATAATAAAACTATTAATAGTCCAAACATGGTATGGACCAACAATATTAACAATAGAGAAATTATTTTAATAATAATTATTATAACAATAATTATAATAATAAACAATCGGAATAGAACAAATTCAGGTTATACAGGAAATAATAGAAAGTGGATAGTTGCCGCACGATTAGCTACTTTTGAAAATCTATACTTACTTTTGTTTACAGTGCAAATCCTCATTACGATCTTCAAACAGTCGTTGGCTTTGTTGAGCGCGTTGCTTTCGTTGCTGAAAAAATTTTGTATAAATAAAATACAATATGGTTATAAAATATTGTCAGCAATAAGTCTTTAATTGAGTAATTCAATTGAAATAGTTTCTATTACCTCACTAATTTGCAGTTCTCTTTGCTCCTTTAACGATTGTGCCCTTTTCAAACTAATCTCTCGTTTCTTAATAGCCGCTTCCATACTCTCTTTCTCCTGCTGTTCAAGTTCTCCCTTTCTGTGCTCTTGCAATTTTTTACGGTCTTCGCTTAATTTTCTTTGTCTATCCATTTTTGATTCCTAAATGAAGAGAATTCGTTTGAAACAAGAGATTATAATTCTAAGCTAATTATAAAATCATACGTAAAGGTTTCTCTCTTCTTTTATAAAATTATACTTACCCTAATGCTAGCTTGTCTTCTTAGAGTCGACTCTACACGATACTCTTTTTCAACAACTGCAGCAAATTTCTCTCGTCGTTCTTCTTCCTCCATTCTCTTCCTGGCTTCTTCTACTTTGGCCTAAGTTAGTTGTTCGATCGGTTAAATCTACCGGAAATGCGGGTAATATTTGTTAAGTTATATTATTACCGCTCGGGCTTCCCTCAATAGGTGAAATTCTGAATTGCTACGACTTCGTAGGCTTTCCGTCGATACTCTAGTTTCGGCTTCCTTTTCTCTCTGGATCCTCGCTCGTTCCCGTTTTTTATTATCAACAGCTTCGCCTTCTCGTCTGGCTTTCATTATTTCTATTATTTTTCTGTCCTAATAATAGAGAATATATTTAGTGTTAAAAGAGCTGATAGGACTGTTATAATTCTTCTGTCAATTAACTCACATTAGCACTTTTGGCACTTAGTTGAGGTTTATAAGTCATTGACACGGAACGCTGAGGGCAAAAGAAAATAAAAGTTTTTTTGGAATACAAAGAATAAGTCTTTTCTTGCTTTTTTTTCTCTCTTTTAAAAAAGTTATTCTACCTGAATTACTCTTGGCGCCGCATCGACGCTTCGTCTCCCCTTTTTGCCGGAAGTAGAATTTTCTTTGGTTACATGTCCGGCTGAGGTAAGATCGGTCGTACTTTGACTCCGACTAGACGGGGAATTAGAAACTAAACGTCTACGGGTTGAATTTTCAACTTCCTCTATCTGCCTTGGTGAATTTTTCGCCTTGGAAAGTCTTTCCTGCTTTCGTCTAGTGAAGATAAAACTATAATTAATGTCAAAAGGAATAAAGCAGTTAAAAAAACGAAGGATACAAAGGTATATGTAAATTAAACAATTCAATACTTCTAAATCCAATAATAACAAACCAGGGCATGCACAAACAGGCCTATAAGGCTCATTGAATAAACGTATCAATCACAATGCATTCTTTTGAGCGGCGAAAGAACACCTGTCATGGATTGAATGCAATGACAACTCCCGTTTCATACTCCCTCCAACGATCAACTTTTATACGTTACAATATTTTGTCGACAGATCAGTCCTTATGACGTTTAATTTTTACCGTTGACTTTTTAGGCCTAATTTACACAACTGTTAGAGAGAAAATAGACCTGTCTCTTCTTCCTGACATACTAACAGGCAGAGTTAAAGGGCTTTTTGAATTAAACATTCTAATATTTTCAGGTCGGTAGCAGCTATTCTTTACGCCTTTTAAGTTTATGGAAAAGTTTTGTCGGCTTGCACGTTTTGTGATAACCGATTCAAGAATGTTTCGCTCGTACCAATCCATTAGCTTTTGCCGCCAGTTTAGGCCTTTTAAAGGCATTAATTCTTGATTCGTGGGCAATTTTTCGCCCTTTTCACAAGTTGCATTACTAATCTTTTTTTTAGCTCGGTACTTGACTCTACGCTTTCCTCCTTGTTGCTCTTGACCCAGCATTGGAATCTTCTTTCTGGGTAATAGCCCTGGTAAGCCCTTTAAAATGGGCGTCTTCTTTCTCCATATTGGTATTTCTTTTGTATCAACCGAATCGATGCAAATACGATTTAATTTCAATACGGGACGGTTCCTAGTAATATCCAAGTCCTGTAGGAATCGCCTCATTTGAGGATTTGCCTCATTTAGAGAGAATAATGAGAAATTACCGCTATCCTTCTCATCCATATTAATAATGCTGCACAACTGCAGTAAAGCTACATTTACATCTCGAAAAAAATGCCGGTAATTAAAGGTTAAAAGCAACTACAAATATGAAATATAGATGATAGTTTAGTTCGGTTTGTCGTAACTTCTCAACAGGTATACACGTAGCGCATTACAGGTAAAGCAAATTTCAGTTTTTCTTTTCAGTGTTAATTATATATATTAGATATGGTTAGGGTGGGTAGGAGGGAGTGGGGGGTGGAGGAAAAAGAGCGTTAGCGAAATGGAAGCAACACTTAGACGGCACCATACTGAGCTCTTAATACCTACATTCCAATATTTTTGCCGGAGGCCAAAACCATTTATACAATGGTGATAAAAAAAAGCTCATAGACAACAGTCTGCAAAGGATCAGCAACAAAAATAATTAAAGGGGGTCCTAACTGTCATATCGACCCTTTTTTATAGCCTTTAAGGACAATCAACCTTGATATAACATTTTCTACTCGACTCTTGACAATTCTTTTTCTAGGTTATAATTACCCGTGAGATAATCCAACAAAATCTCGTTTGAAGACTACCGCGAAATATTCGTAATATACAAGAAAAACAGACGTAAATTATTCACATATGACAAGTCAAATAAACCGATAACAATGGTTGTAATAAATTAAACAGTCACTTGGTTCATAATCTCGTCGTACTCAAGTTGGTGACAATATACACAAACTATTGAAATTGAATCAAAATTTATCATCACGCTTCGATTGATCATGACAAAAGGAGGAAAAAGACTTTTTTTCATAAATAATCATATATTCCTCTTTGATTAACTTACCGGCATAAGGAGCAATGTATTTGCGATTGATTTATCCAGTATTCATCATTAACTTCATTATCACAATCACATATAGCCGAATCGGCATCATCTGGTGATTTTGGTCTTTGTATTTCCAGTTGCGCATGAATTTCCTCTTGGGTAGGAGGAATACTATTATAACTATCCTCCTGATCCGATCTATGATGAGCACTAAGCTTTTGAAATTTTTCCTTTAGTCTCTTAAAACTGAAAGAATGTTTTTTTTCTTCTGCATTCTCGTGTTTACTCTCATTAAGATCTTCGTTTCTTATTTTTCTTATTCCCGGATTATACTCAATTTGAGCGTTCGTCAATCTTGAATGTGAATTACGCCAACTTTTCTGCGCGGGAGAAGTTGAAGCGGTCGCCATTCTACGGCCAGCTACTTATACAATAGCTAAACTTAGACTTAGGTGATTTTAACGCCAGCTGGCGTTAGTGTTTCTTTTCCAAAAGCGCTAACGATTCAAGCGCTTTGAACGGGGGGGAAATTATTAAGAAAAGAGTGGGGCGAGTATCTCAGCCTTCCCATAGCGTATCGGATTCGTATTTCTCACGTATAAAACACGTAAAACAAGTTCTACATTTCACTACCGAATATTAGATTTATAACTTAAAAATATGGATCAATAGGCATACCTTTTCAAGAAGTCTGGTATTACGTTAGAGCAAGAACGGACAAATTTTCGAAAATCTGACATATTCTCCCACGCAGGAAAAAAGGGTGGAGTGAAAACTTTTCAAAAAATTCTAGGCCTATCATCACATCGGCATTGTTAGTATCCGACAAAGGACCAGGATAATTCTTTTCTTGTGCCAGAGTACGCAAGAGCTTGTTAAACCATTAAATATACAAATTGCTAAGTTTTTCGTAGGAAGGCTCTCTACTATTTATAGATATGTTTTTGATAAACAAGAAATTGAACCAATAATCGCAAAGAGAAATAATAAAACTACTATTCAAATCAAGTCGATAATCCCCATTTCAACCTAATTTAAGCTTCAAATATGTTCAATTTACAGACTTTACAGGTGTCACTAGCTTACGAAAAAAAAGGCACACCCTTACAATAAGAAACGAACCTTTCAACAGAGTGCATTCCTAATTTTCCTTTTGATGTTTTTCCACCAACCTTTCCATTCTTTAAGGGGTTCCTTCTCTTAACAGAATTGCTGTTCTCTTTGACCTTTATGCTAGTTGAATCATAAGCTTTTGATAACTTTTCTCTCTTTTCAATTTCCCTATTATGATCTTGCAAAGCTCTGTTCAATTGTTGTCTAAAGTATACTTTCCAATAATAATAAATTAAGTAAACCTTTCATTAACTTCTTCTGCCGAAATCCTTTTATGGCCGTATGAAGTTACCCATGCAGTTCTCTTTCTTTGTAGACTACCAGTATCGAGAATTTCATCTAATAAAGGTTTTTAATTTGCTTTCATTAAAGATAGTGATGGATGTGAACGTCTCTTAGAGATCTTTGAACTTTGTTTACCTATTTCGTTGTTATCGATATTTGAAGAATTTCCCGAGTCGCTAGACGGAATCGTAATTGTTTGAATTCCATCGTTCAGATAATTCTCTTCGACAATTCTTTGTCTTTCTTCTAGACATAGCCGCAGTTTACCTGTAGTAAATATGAATTAATTAAAATTCGCGTTACTAGTCAAACTGCGAAAAGCATACTTATCCTTTCTTTCTCGTGTTCATCGTACAAGTCGAATATTGTACACGTGGGTATGCCTTTCGGCAACAATTCCTCTTGAAAATCCCGCAGAGGCTTCCTCAAAAGTTCAACGGGCTTAAAGTTAAGCCTGGCGCAAGCTTCCAGCGATCTGGGGCTTGTTAGAACATATTTACTTTCTTCGAACTTTGGATCTTCGAAGTTCAGCAGACTTATGTTCAGTTTTTCTGGTTGACGATTTCCTAAAATTCGGTTACGAATTTAAAGAACTCAACGAAGACATAACATAAAGTCAAAAAAACTCTTGATAATATTTTACCTTCCATACTATAATTCTTAAGAGCAACGTAAAAGCTAAACTAAAAATAATAAACTAAAAGAATCGGCGTTTAAAGACGTATTTGTAGGACGGAAAGTGGATTTATAATCGGACGGAATGAAAACAAGTCCATGCAGGCGCGAATATTAGGCCTACGAAAGAGATTATAAACATAGAACAACTAAGAAGATTGAACAACTCGTTTATTTGTTCACGTTACAAATATTTGAATATTCATTTAATTTCTAATTAATTATATATAACTAATCTATGAATAAATTTTCGTTCTACTAAACAAATATGAAAGAAGAAAGAAAGCGTTGCTCTATTTCTTCATATTATTATTCTTCCCTTTTTACTTCTTACTGTCATAGTCATAATGAACTTATTGAATTAGTTTGGAAATGAATTTACAATAATTAACCACTGAATATTTGTTATACGAAGGGAAAATCATATTTCATAAATGGTAAAATATGATGAATTATACGAAAATGATAGTATTTCCATACAAAATATGAATGAAAAGATATAATTTAGGTTATTGCGGAGAAATATACTAACGATACCAAGAAACATGAATAAAATATCAATTTCCCCCTCCTACTATAGAATATAACTCAAAAAGGTGTCTGAATTGAGGATTCTTGCACAAAAGATCAGTAAATGATAGGATATGAGTATAGATTTTTTTATATTCAAGAAAGAGGATGGTTGAATCGGTACAAAAACTTTTAGTTCCGTTTTTTTTCTCTCCTTTTTTTACTTTGGCTATAAAATAGATTCTGAATCTCGCCTAACATAACAAAAATTACCATTTTTTATTCATTTATGTCGTTTTCTGTATTTCTATTCAAGAGGAACGAGATTTTTATCATAAAATCACTCTTGGTGGGTGATATCGAATTATAAACTAGGTGTCGTTTGTATAGAAATTTCTCCCCTCTTTCTTTTTCCTTCACTCCACCCACCCCCCGTAAAATGTTTTTATGTATAAGAGATGAATTGAACAAGCCTCTTGAACATAGTTTATCTTTTATAGCTATATACATAAGGAAACAATTAAACACTCTTTTATACTGCTAAATACGCTTAAGTAAATGGATGGTAAACTATATTATATAAGAAAAGTTCCTATGAATCAACTAGATGGCTCTGTACACCCAGCTTAAAAGAGATAATTTTATAATAAAATGATTTCTATTAATACATAAAAGGCGTATACAGTATAATTAAATATCATTAACAGATAGAGAGAAAGATTTAAGTAGAGAAAGAGAGAGAGAGAGAGAGAGAGATGATACAGTGTTGCATCTGCAAAATATTAATGCTAAAAAGATATTACTAAACAAACAAAGTATTGAAAAAACAAATAAAAGACATCTGGAATTATCAGCGTATTCCTTTTAATTATAACTTTATTAAACGTATACAAAACAATTTCTATAGATTGAATGTAAGTTAAAGTTTAACTTCTTATATCATAATTTTGAATTTCCGACAACATATATTTAGGAATTCATTAATTACAACTGCAAGCAAATAATCCATTAAATCAATTTATTTTTAAGTAGATTATAAAGGATTATTGAAATTAGAAGTATTTCTTTTTTCAAGTATAAAAAAGTAGAAAGAGTAACACATGGTTAAAGTATAAAGAAAAACTAATTGTAAAAAAACAGTTAATTTAAAAATATACCAGTTTGCACTGTGTTAAAACTGTTATAAGTTTTTAACAAATGATCCTAGTCATCAGATATTGTCTCGGCCAATGAATTCAATTGTTGAGATAGTTCTTGTACCTTTGAAATTATATTTAATTTTTCTTCTTCCTTCCATCTTCCATTACATCTTTGTTTGAATCTAAAAACACAAACAACGACTTTTTAATTTTATATAATTTAATAGAATATAACTATTGTACCTATCCGGATGCCATCGGACCTGTTGTATTCTGATATGTTTCTTTTTACTTCCAAATTTTTTATCACAGAGTAAAAATGTCTTTAGTAATTCTATATTCTTTGTCAAAAATCCTAGTGGCCATGGAATTTCTTCCAATAAAATAGGTTTTTTTGACGAAGCTGAAAATAACTTTGAACAAGATAATTCGTATTTTAGTTTTTTCATAACTAAATTAGCTTCGCTTAAGCTTTCTTTTTCAGATTCAACCCATTTTAAGGTTTTAAACTTTCTTTCTTTTGGTTTGTTATCTTTGTCTTCTTTACTTGATTTCTTATAAAATTGAAATTTTTTACTTCTTTTTTTCTTTTCATATTGTTTATAGACGTCGTTGAACCAATCGCCATTTGGTTCCCTATTATCCATTTCTGGGAAGAATGAATAAGCTACGATTACCCTATATAAAAGGTTTCTAAAGGGTTCTTATACCTTCTCGATCTGAATATCTACCCATTTCTGCCGCTATATCATCGTCGATTGCTGAATTAAGCTTTTCTGACCATCTTCTCTCTTGCTCACCATCACTTACTTTTTCTCTGTCAGAGTCATAGTAGTCATCGAAATAGTATTCATCGTCATCATCGTCATCATCATCATCGTCGTCGTCGTCATCATCGTCATTAAATTCATCACTAAAATCGTTTCCGTCTTTTGTCTCTTCTTTATTATACTCTTTCTCAGCCATGAAAGAGCTGTAATCCTTGTTTTTGAAACATATTATATAGAATGCACTGTATATATTAGAATATTTAAAATATCTATCTACTTTAAGTTTACGAATAATTGATTCTTGAAAGAAACCAACTCTGGGATCCTCCATACTATCCAAATTGGAAGAACTTTGAAATATGTTTAAAAATAATAATCCTATTTCTGTGGAAACAACACAAAATAGAAAAAGGGATATTATGTAGTCTTAATGAACATTTATGGTTTTACTAGTAGAAATATTCTATTACTCTTAGTATTTCCACATTGAGCCAAGCAACTAAAGACGTCTTCTCCTTTGTCATTTGACTGCATAATGTTAGCACCTTTTTTAATCAAATATCTGTAAAAATGATCATAGTATATAGTCAATGAATATATTTTTAACATTTTGAATTAATTAGAAATATTATTTTAGATATAGTCATGGCTTTCTCATACTTGCCTTACAACTCTGACGCTTCCGCTTTTACAACCCAACAAGAACATGGAATCGCCAAATAGACTAGTATGATTTATATCTAATTTTTTCTTCTTTAACAGTTTCTTCAATTTTCCTTTCTTATCGTTAGAAATATACTTAATAAGATGTTTTATTTTCCGATTAGAAATTTTTTTACGATCTTTTTCGGGTGTCGGAGTCATAGTTTCGATTAAGAATCCCAAGACGATTCACATCTTTTTAAGAGTGAGATCTAAAGAGCTTTTTTTTAAAAAAAATTGTACATATTCGAAGTTTATCAAATGTTTTTTTAATTTTAAACATAGCATATTATCGCTACGAACAATTTCCGGTTAGGAGAATTTTGTATTTGAGAAAACGGGTAGCGCGAATTTTCGAAAAAGTAATAACTATATTTTTAATACTTGAATAAAGAATCCATGGAATGCGAGAGTGTCTCTTATAATTATTAAAGTATAGATTTGTAATCGAATTGAGATTGTAATTGAAAAAAATTTGAACAATAATAATATAAAAGTCTATATGAAATTGTACAGAGTGAAGCATTCATTCAGATGTACTAGAACTTGTAGTGGGTTCAGGCGCTTCCTCAGTATTTCCAGCATCAGCTTTATCGTCTACTACTATTGATTTTCGACTAGTTTCTTTCTGAATATTATAATGTAGTTTGCTTAATCTCTCCTAAGAAAAAGAGAAAAAAATTAGATATATTTATGTATTTGTATTAGATAGCTGATCGAAAGTATTCCTTATGGTGCAAACCTGGGCATTCTGTAAGATATTATTGACTATATTTATACGTCGACGTGTATTATTTAGTTTCTTAACATATGGGTTAAGATCAGCTGGAATGCCATGCGATTCAGATATTTTTTTCAAGTCTGCAAACAAAAAATATATTAACTTTGACAATTATGCATTCAATGTACTAACCGTCATTTAGTATTTCTATACTGTGTTGCAAATCAACTTGACTTTGTCTATAAATTTATTACAAAGTAACAATCTTAATTTGCGAAAATTATGAACTGCTTAAAATATCGTTCCAACCTTACTGAACGAACACGATCGTCAACTTCCTGTACAGCTGGTGTAAGCAAGGATAATAAGCCTTCAGTAACGGCCTCCTGAGTATCATATTCTCCTGCTATTCGACCGGTTCCCGGGGCTGATAGAGCTTCTTCCTCACTCGACATTTGCCTATTGTTACACCTACAAGTGTTAACCGGTTGGACAGATGACCGGTCATTGATTATTTTCAAACACTTTAACTTTATAAATTTGGCTTTTTTCTACGCCCACATTTTGTAAAATGTCTTTTTTAAAGAACAATATTCGAAATTTAAAATAATGATAAAAATATATTTTCTCCTCATTACTGTAGGCTCACATTTGATAATTTATTAAATAACAGTGTTTTGATGTAAAGGGTGATATCATGAGAACGAAATGCGTTATTTTTCCAACAACAAAAAATGAGAATTGTAATATAAAACATTGTCCTAGGAACTGGCAGTCAACTATAATTCATCTTTATCAGCGCCGGCTTCTTCGCTACCTTCTGGAGGTGGTGGGGCTCCTCCGGCACCTTGGTAATGTTTGCTCATGATTGGTTGAACAATTTCTTCCAATTCCTTTTTCTGTGCTTTGAAATCCTCAGCTTCTGCTTCTTGATGGCTTTCCAACCAGCTTATTTTTTCGGTAACAGCTTTTTCGACGGTGGACTTGTCTTCTTCGTTTAATTTACCACCCAATTTTTCCTTATCGCTCAATTGGTTCTTTAGAGAGTAGGCGTATGATTCTAACTCATTTCTGGCTTCAACTCTATCCTTAACTTTCTTGTCATCGTCAGCGAATTTTTCAGCATCGTTAATCATACGTTCAATATCATCAGGAGACAATCTGTTTTGATCGTTATTGATAACAATGTTGTTCTTGTTTCCAGTACCCTTATCTTCAGCGGATACCTTCAAGATACCGTTAACATCGATTTCAAAAGTAACTTCGATTTGGGGAACACCACGGAGTGCTGGTGGGATTCCAGTTAAATCGAATTTTCCCAACAAGTGGTTGTCTTTCGTCATGGGTCTCTCACCCTCGAAAACTTGGATTGTGACTGTGGGTTGATTATCAGCAGCAGTTGAGAAGATTTGAGATTTCTTAGTGGGAATGACAGTGTTTCTTGGGATAAGCTTGGTCATAACACCTCCGACGGTTTCGATACCCATAGTAAGAGGGTTAACATCCAAAAGAACCAAATCTCCAGTATCTTGTTCACCAGAGAGTACACCAGCTTGAACAGCAGCACCATAGGCAACAGCTTCATCAGGGTTGATACCTCTGGATGGTTCTTTGCCACCGAAAAATTCTTTAACCAATTGTTGGACTTTAGGGATACGGGTGGAACCTCCAACCAAAACGATTTCATCAATATCTTTCTTTTGTAAATCAGCATCTTCCATAACTTTTTGTACTGGTTTCATGGTAGAACGGAACAAGTCCATGTTCAATTCTTCAAATTTGGCACGGGTCAAAGTTTCAGAGAAATCTTCACCATCGAAAAGAGATTCAATTTCAATTCTGGCTTGATGCTGAGATGACAAAGCTCTCTTTGCTTTTTCAACTTCTCTTCTCAATTTTTGAACTGCTCTGTTGGATTTTCTGATATCTTTTCCCTTCTTCTTCTTGTAAAGCTTGATGAAATGTTCGATAACTCTTTGATCAAAATCTTCACCACCCAAATGAGTGTCACCATTAGTGGCAACTACTTCAAAAACTCCATTGTCGATTGTCAAAAGCGAAACATCGAAGGTACCACCACCCAAATCAAAGACCAAGATGTTCTTTTCACCTTCTTTCTTGTCTAAACCATAGGCAATAGCTGCAGCTGTTGGTTCGTTGATGATTCTCATAACATTCAATCCAGCGATGGTTCCGGCGTCTTTAGTTGCTTGACGTTGAGCATCGTTGAAATAGGCAGGAACGGTAACAACGGCGTGAGTAACAGTTTTGCCAAGGTAAGCTTCAGCAACTTCCCTCATTTTACTCAGAACCATAGCAGAGATTTCTTCAGGTGCGAAAACTTTACGTTCTTCACCTACTTGAACATCAATGTGTGGCTTATTGTTCTTGTTTACAACCTTAAATGGGAACAATTTGATGTCTGATTGTACAGTAGACTCGGTAAAGATTCTTCCGATCAAACGTTTAGCATCAAAGACGGTGTTTTCAGGATTTGTAGTCAATTGATTCTTGGCAGCATCACCAATCAAACGTTCACCTTCGCCTGTGAAAGCAACGTATGAGGGTGTGATTCTGTTTCCTTGATCATTGGCGATAATTTCAACACGTCCATTTTTGAATACACCAACACTATGAATGATATAGATTGTTAGGGTCAACGATATTGATAATGATTCATTAACTTACCATGAGTATGTAGTTCCAAGATCGATACCAATAACAGTTCCTACATTTTCTTTGTCATCCTTCTTCTTTTTCTCCTCCTCACTGTGTACAAGTGCTGCTATGAACGCAACACATACTAGTCCGACGAAAAACTTCATTCTGAGAAAATGTTAACGTGTACAATCACATGTTCAAATTTTATACCATATACATTAAATCTAGCCAAAGTCATCTTTTTTAACTTACTTTATTTTTAAGGTTAAACTCAAAAGAAAACGACTCAATATATTTATTTATAATTTGATACGTACTTCTTCGGTATTTTCAATTAATTTGCTTCGATATCTAGCGATCAGTCCTTTTTACGTCCGGCTGAATTCGTGTCGAACGATGATTGGTCCAGATCAACAGATTTGGCTATCAGTGATTGGTTGATCACCCACGCCGACAGAAAAGTACACGTGTTATTACACGTTTTCCGTTTTAATGTACTTCGGTTTAAAACGACACCGATTGCATCATTTTTAAGCAATTAAATTTTTTTATTAGCCTATTTAAAGGTTTTCGGTAAAAAAAATAGGCTTCATCAATAAATGATAGAGTTTTAGGGTTTTTAAAAGGAACTATTTTTATGGAAAAAAAGTGCAAACCGGAAAGTCATTTCTGAATATCCGGTAAAGTATCGATCATTTGAACCTCAAACCCACGAGGAGAAGTTAGTAGAAATTTCAAGAAATTTCCTGAAACTTCTAAAAACTTCTAGAAGCTTTCTTTTATAGCATAGCTTTCCAGTTTCTTCTTCCTTAAGAACAGTCTAATCAAGTGACTCGTAATGCACAATTGGCGAAGCATTTCGGCATCAATTGCACTTTGCTGTCAAACCACGTGGTCGTGAAAAAGTACAAATGTAAGTGTTTTTCTTTTGAAATTTTGTTTAAATTGGATGGAATATGCATTATCATTGATTATGCTGTATCCATTTTGTCCCATAATTTACTTATGGGACAAAATTAATTATTTACTTTAAAAAGTTAATTTCAAAATGGCGGCTTCTACAAAATCTTATTTTTTAAAATAGATACAATACTAGACTATAAGTATGTGAACTATGAAGAATACCACAAAAGGAAATCAAAATTAGCAAATTTCGACTGTTCACTGGCGATATTGAGGAAACACGTGGTCACGACTTTTGAACAGGTAAGACTATTGTTTTTAATATTTTCCAATTTAATCAATGATGCATAAACGAATATTTGCTACTCCTTACTTAATGGATGACGAGTATCCCACCAAGATCTCTGAGAAAGCTTTAATTTGTAAAATAAAATGAAAATTTTTCAAATTATATAGTATAGTTTGCATTTCAGAATTGAAGATGGCTTCTACCAAAATTATTCGACTCCGAGTTCTTCGAGTAAGTCAACCATTCTTTTACAATTACTAATTGAATGATAACTGATGAATATATAAAGAATCAGACTATTCGTGGTGAAATGATATTAGCTCTATCTGACATAAACAGCACAAACTGTTTAAATTATTTATAACCAATTCCGAATATCAAATAATTGTTTACTTCGGAATTGGTTAGGATTTGCTTGATGATTATGAATATAAACTCTTATTAAATATTTTCTTTCTTACAGGAAAAGAACACAATTAGGTAAGGTTCCGAGATTTCGTCTATAAGCAAGTTTTGTAAGGCTATTTGACTTTGTGATGACAAAACTACTTGAATGTGGGAATCTCTCTGAAAAATAATGAAAGATTAGGTTAACTGAAAGCTAGCCAACAAACTCTAACACTTCTCTACTCAATATCAGAAAATAATAAACTATTTTTAACAGAAATTATCGGTTTTAAAGCCTGGAGAAAGTAGAAAAGGTAAGCATTTTATTTAATTTCATATATAGATTTATCGAAAATGATGAAAACAGATAGGGACAATTGATTAAATCATGATAATATTTACAGACCTGTACTGAAATTTATAATTTAATTACAAATAAGTGTTGCTTTTTAAGACATTGATTAAAATGTTGTTTTTTTCCTTTTTTAGCAGAACACAACGACTTCAAAAGCCGGAAAAAACTAATGTAAGTTAAATTTCTATTATAGAAGTAATATTTTATCATGATGTAAAACTTTGGGACGTAATTATGATTTATATGATAACATCTTAACCTCTTCTGACTAATGATTTATACTTTAAAGTTCAATATAATAGGTAAATAACTAACTTTTCGCTTTTTTACAGATATTGGAGGTAAGGAATCGAAAACAAACGTCAGGAACGTCTTAAAAAATGATGATTCTTTCATCATGTTCAACTGCACTGAATATTTTTGAAGATTATATATATCTGATCAAAACAATTTAATGAATTAATTATCTGTACTGTAAAAAATAGTCTTATGATAATCAATACAACAGATGGACACACGAAGTAAGAAGAACGATCTTCTAGAGAAGTTGATTGAAAATTGATCAAAAATACAATTTCAAAATCTAAATGATAGATAATACAATTTTTTTCTGCAATAATAAATTTACTAGACAATAAATATTAATTTATCTGAAAAATAAGGAACTTTTTTCTCTTGTTAATAGGGCGTACTATTTTACTCTATTATTCTATTTGCTTTAAATGAGCAATGCAAACATTGACAACAGTATATATATGTAAATTGATTCTATGTCTTCCGCTTTTTGATAATGCAATATTGTAAATTAATATGTTTGCGACCATGCTTCAAGAATAACAAATTGTCAGCCTATAAAGTCAAAATAATTACTAAATTGGGCCGAATTCTCTATTTACCCAGTGACTGTTGAAAAGTAAGAATTTAGACTGCGAGTTATCAAATCAAGGTGAGAATATTGAGAAAAATATCTTGATTGATTTGAAAGAAAAAATTCCCTCGACGTTTAAAAAATCGCATTATCAAAAGATAATTATGCAGAAAACATGAAAAATCAAATTTATTTGGAAGTAACGACATTTAAAAATACTGTTAAAAGGAGATTATGCGATAAACGTTCACTTAATCTTTTTCGGACTTGACCAACAAGCTTTATTATAGATTTTTTGGTTGTTATGATGTGAATTTGAGAGATTTCAAAAGAGATTAGTAACAGATTGTACCAACAATGATTTCCATCTAGCAATATCCGACGATATAGTTTTAAAGGAAGGAAGAATTTCAACCGAAGATGACTTGAGCATTGATAAATTACGTCATATCAAGATGCAGACATCATTTTATTCTAATTGGTTCGTTTCCATAATCTACAATATTCGTTAAAAAGTTACAATTCAAATACTCATTACAGGCAATTCTAAACATCTGAAGGAAGTGATAAATGAAAGGATTAAAGATAAACATTACACAAAGGGAAAGTTTAGAAAAGTTAATTGAAGAAGAACTCGATATCTACAAAGAATGAATTATGATTGTAATAAGTAGAGAGGAGTTTTTGATGAATACGTTAATGAATCTGATAAAATAAAATATATATTAGAATATTTTAATGATTAAATCAAACGGACAGCAGACAACAGCTATTCAAGCTGCTTTAGATAAGGATTTCGCACTAATTCAAGGTCCAACTGGTAACTGGAAAGAGTTTGAAAACTGCCTTCAAAAGTGATCAGTGTTTGGCTGGTAACGAAATGAGAATTAGTACAAACTTACTTTCTTTGTTTTTGAATATCAAGGTACAACCGAAGAACGCTAGAATAGATAGAAAGGATATTGAGACAATTAATAAAGGAAGGTGCTGAGATGAAAATTAATGGATAATGGATAAATTTTGAAAATGAAGAAAATAAATGTTCAAACAACGACAGCGATCTTCTCGATAAAATAATAAAAGACTGAAGGAATACTGTTATTATTATTAATGCAAGAGGAAAAAGAACTGGGACATTGTTTGAATTTTGCGAAACACTTAGGATAAACAAATAATCAATAAACGAATTTCTCAAAACGGTTTTTCTATCTTTTCAAAACAGTCATCTGTTTCCTGGGAATTTTGTTCTTATCTAAATATTCTTTATTTACTGATATGATAAAAAGATTTTATGGTAACATTACAAATAGCATAATGGTATTAAATCCTTCAGGGGTATTCTTTCATTTTATTCGTGTAAAAAATGTGTAATACGTCTACTATGAACTTTTGGGGTTTTACAACAATCTGTTGTCCAAATGCCTGTAATGATTAAAGCGCATGCGCTCATAGTATGGTTCCTTTTTACTTTACGTTACGTTACCTCTCATCATAAACCAAAAGGAGCTTTTTAAGGATTGTAAGCAAGTACTGTTTTGTGTTTGCTTCTTATAAATACATAAATAACTAGTTAAGACAAAAGGAAATTTTTCTTTTAATTGTTGAAATTGAGTTTTTTTCGATGTTGCGTAATATATTATGGCCTATATTAAGCAATACAATTGTATTGTATATAAACTTATGTATTAATAAATATAGCTTTTATTGAGTCATTCTTTAAAATTCATTGGTTTTATAGATAAATAAATATAAATATATTAATGACGTATGAAAAAGAAATCGTAGATTTCCTAAGAGAATAAATTGGTTAATTATAGTAAAATCTATTACAATCCGATTAAACTTGTTTTTAGGTATAGGAAAGCTAGTACACGTCATTGAATATCTTACCTAAAATTAATTGAATGTGTTATTTTACAGATATCGATTGTTTCGTCTGAGGACAGCGAAACTGAAAGTAGGAAAATTTTTTTTTTTAAATATGCTGTATATTACTGCTTGCACGATACCATATGCTTCAGAATTGTTTTAACAACGTAGATTCTAAGTTTGGAATATATTAATTATTTATTTCTAAGCTAATAATCGTTAATTCAAGGTTTGTATAATCTCTATTTTTCCGTATACATAGATATTATTAATAATTAGTTGAGCATTGTTATTAGACGCTAATTTCTTTTTCAGTTTCTAAAATATACGATATGGCGAATTCTTCTCAGAACAGGTTCCCGTATTATCTGGACAAAACTGTGCCTTTTCCAATTCCTTTTCGTAATTTCCCTACACAATTTAGTGTACCTCCACCTTCACTAGGTTTTTACAATACCTGTGTTAGAAATATGCCTCCCAACGTACCATATACTCCACAATTATCTCTACCGCATTATTGGCATCAACCACCCCCTTCAGCTACTGGGAGAGACTATGGCTTAATCAGAGAATTGATTCCTCCTATTGAATCAGTCGAGAGAAGAGACAACCAGCCTGAAACCAATATCTATAATAATAGCGATAATTCGAATGGAATATCAGACATTTGCTCAAATAACGAACCTACTACAAAACATGATTCTGCAACGACTAATATAATCTCAAATAGGGATACCTTGGAAAAGAGGGAGATGTGTCTTAAAATAAATAATGAAACCTATAA